ATTGGAACAACTCAACTTTGCAGCTATAACTGATATTTTATGTTGAGGAATATAAATCCATACCTTCTATGGAAGACATGAACATTTCTGTTCAGTTATTTGGTTCAGAGGGGTTTGGCAATTGTAGTTTTCATATGTGTGATAATAGCTAAGTGAAAAAGAAGAAAACAGTGAACTGTATTGGTTCGTAAAAGAACACTCACACTCAGGTTGGTTTCCTTTTAGGAAGAGAGTCTTGAAATAACACAACATAACCACACCATCGATTCCAGGTTGCTGTGCCTTGTATAGTTCGCAAGCATGAGCCGAAGGTAGAAAGTTACAAGACCCAGGCACACTCAGGCAAATATTTCAAGTGTATAAAGTGTCTAAAACTTGGGACTTGGCAACAAAGGACATGAATGAACATCCAGAAGACTGCCTTACCCTTCCTTCTGCTTAGAAATAATTTTCCAGACAATGCCTGCCCCCAGGAGAAGCAGGACTCCTGCAGCTGCAACTCCTGAGATTGAAGAGCACATATTATTCTCACTGTATGTTTTAAGGCGTATCAGCACAAAAGACATAACGAAGCACATCTTCAGAGTAAGCAGAGGGAAACGGTGCCACTGGGCCCACTGCATGAAGTTAAAGATCTGGCCACAAAAATACCTCTGAGCTGCTTACCTAGGCCTACTGAACCAGACTTGCGTGACGCTGAAGGGAAGAGAAAAAGAAAAATCAGCAAACTATTCTAACAAAATATGGTGTTTCTCAACTGTAGTTAATCACTTGATCAATAAAGCTTTTCCTGCTAAGGGCTGTAATACAGGATTTCTTAAAAACCACACCATTATATTCTTTTTTTTTTTGATACAGAAAGACATTTGCATGTTTAAAATGCATTTGTATGTTTCTCTTTGATCTTTGCTTCATTTCCATTTCACTCACTTAGTTTACAGGCTGGTACAGGAGGGTCCCAGCTGAAGTCCTCTTGGCACTGAATCTGACTGATGCCTTCCAACGTGTAACCATCATCACATTCAAGAGTGATGTTAGTCCCAGAGCGATAAGTATTTCCTTTTATGGCTTTCTTAACACCTTGAACTTCGGGGAATACACATCTGATCTCTGAAATTAGAAGTAACAAAAAAAGGACATTTAATGAGAAGGAATATAAAATACGAGAAATACCACTGTGGGTTATTTAAGACATTGTTCTTGAATCCTTTCTGAATGTAACCAGGAATTAATTCTTATTCCACAGGGTAATGCCTTTCTTTGTGGCTGCAGAAGGGGGTAAGTGTCTCACTCCCACATGTGAATATTTGTACAGATCAGCTACTCCACACTGATACTGCACGTGGGAAGTCGTGTGTAGTAGGGGTACCTTGGGAGAAGCCTGCCAGAGAAAGAGGTTTTTCTGATACTGGGCTACCAAAACATTTGGAGAAGAAAGGTGTAGCAGGGAAGAATTCTGTGGGAGCTTTAGACCCAACTGCCTATAACCCACTTCTAGTCTGTAGAAGTCCCTTATCCTTAAAAGATGTCACCAGCCATATTATTTATCAATAATTAACCAGCCACCTAAGCTATTTATACCACTGATTTCAATGAAGTGAATTAGTTGCTTCAATTTAAGTGTCTAATCACAGTCCAAGCCCAAGAATTCTGGAGGAGAAGGTTCTCAGTGGAGACCAAAGGGGTAACATCAACATGTAACTTTTAACCTTTGTTTCACGTCTTTTTTTTTTTTTTTTATATTTATTTTTACTTTCACACGTAATAGTTACTAAGGACACTTCAAAACCACAAGAATGTGGAATGGCAGGGAGAATTTTTCTGTGAGACTGCTTCCTTTAAAGAGCCTCTGACTTATTTACATAAGCATTTGGTACGTTATTTCCTCTCATTGTTATCCAAGCGCGGTTCAACTCTTGAGTCACCGAGGTGGGTGCAGTTCCACCAAGGAAGCACGCTGTGTGGGTAACGAATTTATTCCAGTGAATGTCCAGCTTTCCATGCGGGAACACCCACACCAGGAATCTTGTGACGCTGATGAAATTGCCTTTAGTCAAGTTTGCCCAATGACTGACCTTCACAGTGAGCTACACAGAAGTGCCAAGTCACATTGGCATATAGAGGCATTTTCCGAGAAGGGAATAGTCAGGCTCACCTGTGAGCTACAAATCACCCATCAGAGACAAATTCTCTGATATAATAATTTCCTTTGTTTCCTGTTAGTGATAACTGGGGAGTGAGAGACACAAAAAGGGAAGGAAAGGAAAGGGAAAAAGTTTCTACTCTTCTACTAAAAGTAAAAAGCTTTTAATGGAGGAAAGTTGGTATAGAACTCATTCGTAGCAACAAGAGCAGAGATGGAAAACACGCAAGAATTAAAATTGCCTTCCAAAATTGCCTCTACTGTACTCATATCCTTTGGCTACTAGCATGAGGTTCCCATCCTACTACTTTACAACAAAATCATACTCTTCCCAGGGATAATAAAGAATAGATAAATTCATAATTAACAGATCAACAGTGCCTAGCTATGATATGAAAGTGGTTCCCAAGCAAAATAAGGGGATGGAATTCAGTGTTAGCTGCAGAAGATTTTACTGCTTCGGTTTTGGCCCATGTATCTCTCCGATGATTTAATTTTTTCCCCAAAGTAAAACATGCATATCAGCATGGCTGCATGTCTCCCCAGCCCATTTCTGGGAGATGTCTGCCACCATGAATTCCAAACAACATAAGCAAACCAAGCACAAACACACCTTTGCACTGAGGAGGCGGCTGGCTCCAGGTTCCTGACACCGTGCAGTTGATGAAAGCATTCCCAACGAGTGAATAACCAGGATTACAGCTGTAGGATACAGATGCTCCATAGGAAAAAGTGTCAGAGATGTTGCCTTTGAGCTTCCCGTTGGTGATGTTTGGAGGATGGAGACACTTCACAGCTGGAAAGTCAGGGAGAGGCAAATGACAGTGTTGACATGAGGATCCTGGTGGACTGCCAGAGAGCAGCTAAGGCACCGTACCTTTGCAGCCTTGATTGTTCCCTTTGAATTTCTTCACCTAGGCTAAATAACTGATTTTGTAACCCTGTAACTCCATCAGGCTTTGGAAATGGGTATAAACTTGATCTTGTTCTTATCACTCATTCTGTAGTAAAGGACTCAGATTTAGTCCTTATACAAACCTTTCCCTAAGGCAAGTCATGTTAAACGTCCTTTCTTCTTAGGTCTCTGCAACAAAAACACACCTTGACAGACTGGAGAAGGATGGCTCCAGCCTCCAGACTCTGTGCAATAAATGGATGCTGTCCCAATGAGAGAGAAGCCGGGCTCACAGGTGTATCTTACAGATGTTCCAGGAGTGAAAAATGCTTTTGCCGGGCCACTGAAAGACCCATGGGCAATATCTGCAGGCTTGGAACAGTGCAGCACTAAAAAGAGAGAAGTGCAGATCAAAACAGAGCTCATACAGGCAAGAGGGGAAACTTTTGAGCACCTGTGGACGGGTGTACGCTCACTCCCACAGCACTGAATCCAACACACAGAGCCAGCCCTGCCCAACCCTCTGCGCTCACTTCACCCCAAATCATCTATAAAGCATATGGCAACACACACACTTCTTCTTACACAAAGGAACATTGCCCAGCATCGTCTTTCCTGGTATATCAGATAAGAAGAGCGATTAGTTCATATATATAATGGGAATTCCACACTTGTAAGACCACCTTATTACAACATCCATACAGGTTCCTTGTGGCTGGCAAAGCTGGCCTAAGCTCATTTTTAAGGCATTCATACTGAGAAACTGAGGCACCGGATACTGCAGCAATAAGAATGGGAAAAATTAGGATAGATGGATCTTCAGATCTGAACACTAGACTCCAGATTCCTCTTGCCTCCTAAACATGTTACGACACACCACCAAGAGTGATAAGGTCAAAAAGGATAGCCATCCAAGGACAGATACCACATGCTTTCCTCTTTCACAGACAGGGAGTGGAGGATCCCATGTGCCCCCTAGCCTGGCACTGGGACTTGTGGAGGTCTTTGGGGACATTAGCAGTGTTGCATTCAATGGTAATGATGTCTCCAGGCCTATAGAGGGACTCCAATCTGATTGCTTTTCCATTCCCAACTCCTGGGCTCACACAGCCAACTATGGGCCGTGAGGGTATAAAGAACCCTTTAGACCATGAAACTTGTGTGGGATAGAGACCACAGAGACCTCATTCTTGGCCACAGAGACCTCATTCTTTCTTTAGTGGTGGAGTTTGTTGAAGCAACAGCTCGTTTCAGCAAGTCCTTAGCCAAATATCACGACATGTTTAACGCATTTAGAAAGTTGAGAAGATTCAGTGGAAAGAGCACAAACACACCTTCACACCGAGGAAGGGGGTGGCTCCAGACTCCGTATGTTGTACAACGAACGGACTTATTACCAATGAGGGAGAAGCCATGTTTGCAGCGGTAGTGCACAAGTGCTCCTACATCAAAAGTGTCTGAGAAATGACTGCTGTGTTCCCCATTAGTAATGCTTGGAATCACAGAATCATAGACTAGTTTGGGTTGGAAGGGACCTCTAAAGGTCATCTAGTCCAACCCCCCTGCCATGGGCAGGGACATCTTCAACTAGATCAGGTTGCTCAGAGCCTCGTCCAACCATTGGAGGAGGCAGACACTTCACTACTGAAAGAGGAGAGGGAGAGGGTGAGAAGGTGACATTCAATTGTGAAAAAAGTAATAACAAGAGAGTAAAAAAGTGCAATTAACCCTCTTCACTGCAAAAAGCAGGACAGGTTGGGAGGAGGAGCTAGTGTTTAGTAAATCTTGCCTCTTCTTATAATAGACCTACCTGGCTTCGTTGTGGTATCAGGATGATGATAGTGTTCTGCCACTCCATCTAGATGCAACATTAAGAGTTTAAAAGACAAACTTGGTCGATCAAATACAATGCACAAATTTACCTTCATTTTCCATCATCCTGCCTTTATATTTCCAGCAAAAATTTCACGCCTCTCTGATAGACAGTGTCCCACCATGAAGCTACCAAATTTCTCACTTTTAGGAAATGAAGAGAACACGGATTATGGATTGCAACAAGCAGGGTGAGAAAAGTGCAAATCATGCTTATACTTACAGCATTAGCCAAAACCTGGCTTATCTCCTGTGTGAGAAGAGAGGCATAAATAAAAGGAACAATTTCTGCTTTCTCCTTAAAGTAGTTGTGGCAAACAAGAAAAATAAAGCCAACTTTGGCTTCAGTGAGTGGGTAGGAGCAGTCGGGGAAGAATCTGCAATGCTAACAAGTCAGAGTGCTGACACTTACCCTGCTCGCAGACTGGCACGGGTGGATCCCATGTTTTATCAGCTCGGCACTGGGCTGTGCCATGGCCTCGCAAGGTGAAACCTTTATGGCACTTAAAGCTAACAGTGTCTTTGTATGTGTAGCGATATTTAAGAACAGATACTCTCCCATTCTGGATCTGTGGGACTGGACATACCACCTCTGAAAAATAAATGCATTATCTCAAAGAGGGAGCCATATATATATATATATGCACTAATTACAGCATAAAGTCCATCCTTAACGTGCCACTGCTCAGAGGAGTTCCACAGGTAGTACTTGGAGAGTCACAGAAGAATAATTTCAAGAATTGAGGGCTTTTTAGTTCCTAGGTTTACCACATGATTGTATACGTAAACATAGTTTTGTGCCTATAAGCAGAATAATGCAAATACATTCCCATAAATATATTAAATGGTGTAGAAATCCATAAGCGCCATTAGTCATCCTCATGACTGCTTTACTGTACCAAGCTCATGCCTTCCAAAGCAATTCCATCTGAAGGAAAGACTAATTGCAATGATCAGCCCCCGCAAAACAGCCTTGTGGTTTGGATAACAGTACGGTATTTGGAAGATCCTAGTTCAATTTTACTCAATATCCCGCTCTTCTACTGCAAGACACATTTCTTCCTTAATTTATTATTTATGTTTGTGAAACAAAAGGGACAAATCCCTGCAGGCATCTCACAACTCTTCATTCTACATAACTCTGAAAGACCAAAAGCTAGCATCTGGAAGATTTTTAGAAGAAACCAAACAAGCAAACAAAACAAAACAATCCTAGAGGAATATTACACTTAAAAAGCCTTATTCCTCAAGGCTCTATTTATTTTAAGGAAATGCCACTTTTTAATTTTAAGGACTTCATTTGGCAATTCTGGGCCAGATCTAGTGGTGACCTACTTACTCTGACAAATGGGAAGAACACCACTCCATGCGACATCTGGTCCAAAAGTCTCACATCGCCTATGAGATACTCCAACCAGTCGGTGCCTGGAGTTACAGAGAAAGAAATATCAGTTGATATCAAGTCATTCAGCCTGGATTTTGCACTCCCACTCTGACACTACCCCCAGAGGTTTCCTTCTGCAGCCTCCTGTTTCTGGCTGGTCACCGAGGTGTTTCTGTTGGTTTGACACATGGGAATGAAGGACACCAAGTTCCTTCTGCCTAGATCCAAGAGGAACAGCAGTGATCCCAAATTACTCTGGGTTAGATTGGTCAGGTGCTAAATCAGGACTCAGACCCAAGTGATTTCCAAACCGCTGGAGCCTCCTTGCAGCACGTGCTTGCTTGCACTCCCAGCTCCTGCTGGGTGGCCATCTGAGAAGGCAGACTGAAACTGAAGTTTGCAGAGTAATCTGTTGAGCACAGGCAGGAGAAAATGAGACACTTCTCCCTTTCCTGAGCAGGCAACCATGGCATAACTGGAACCAAAGTACAAACTCTGGCTTGCTGTGGGAGAACGCCCAGCACAGAGGAGTGGGCTCTGAGCCTTTACCGTAAGTTGCCCAACACCGAGCTCAGAAACGGAGTCAGCAAAGGCAGCGTGGGACTCACCCTTCTTCACATGTGTAGCTCACGGTTGACCCAAAAAGGAGATCTGTCAGAACAACAACTCTGCCGTTCTTTGGTGTTTCTGGGTATTTACATTGCTTCCCTGGGAAAGAACAAGGCTGAGTTTAAACTCCTCTCTTGCAGTTTTGTAATGCACTATGAGAAAGTATCTTAAGGATCTGTCCACATTCAGACACCAATAAAGACGTGATTTTTAAAAGGCCAATAGCTGCCCAAACTATGTGACTAGTGAAGCCATGTATAAATCATTTTTTAAAGAATTGCTTTAAGAAACCCACAAATGTAGCTTAGACAATTTTCAACAACCAACACCAAACTGATTGAGCTATTCACTTTTACAGAACGCTAGCGCTTCAGACCACGTGTGGTTTTTGAGGCATGTCAGATTCGTGGGTACTCCGGGGTGTCTCATGTATCCTGGCTGGCAGCTGTATTGCACGGTGTCCCCAACAGAAAACTCCATCAGATTTTTGTATTCCTCAGTTAGCTCAGCAAAGGTTAAGTTTGGAGGTGCTCCACAGCCCCCTATAGGAAAGAAAACACAGGGAAAAATAGGGATATCAACTACACAAAGTTGTTTTAAAATGTGTATTGAGTATGCACAGATAAAAGTTTACGAGCAAAACTGACAACAAAAGGGAAGTACTGAAGGATTCAACATTTTGGGAAGAGTGAGGGAAAGGATGAGTCCTACAGGCTTTTGAAGGCAGAAATTCCCAGACTATCCATAACTCCAGCCATTATCTCGGAACCATTGTGTACCTGCACACTGAGGAAGAGGGAGGCTCCAGTTTCCAGAGTCAGTGCAGTAAATTGATGCCTCTCCCAGGAGGCTGTAGCCAGGGTCACAGCTGTAATTTACGACCATCCCAGTAGTGAAAACTTCCAAGTCCTGGCTGTTGTGCTTTCCTTTGTCAATATTTGGAGGTGAAGGACATTGCAGCACTAAAGAGAGAGGACAAAACAAAAATGAAAAAAGGGCATGGACAGGATAACGTGCACGAAGGATGCATGCACAAAGACACCAGAATTAACCATTTCTGTTGGCAATGGCTGGAGGGTGAGCGCACTGCGACACTGGGGGAGGAGGGCAAATCCACATTCACGTCAGTAGTGAAAAAAAGGAGGAGTATGGAAAAACGAGTGAGTTGGTGCACAGGAACATTGCAGCTGAGCTGCCAGCCTGTAAGAGACAGGGTGTCTCGGACAGGTATCTCTTGGCTGCTGCTCGTTGCCAGAGTCCATCCAGATACTTCACCCCTCTGGACTACTTAGCAGGTATTTCTGTGCACTCATCCCCGGTGAGTGCCAAAGGGCTCTCAGTGAAGCAGGGGTGATGTGGGCACTGCACATCCTGGCCCCACATCCTCCCCGGCCCCTCCTGTCTTGTGAACAGCCACTGCTCCACAGCGTGTCCCTGGGTCTGCCCTGCCCTGCCCACGGCCCCTCCGGCAGGGACGGATGCCCGTGCACCACAGAGCCCTACCTCCGCACCGCGGCAGTGGCCCGCTCCACACGCCGTGCTCCCCGTCCACCGTGGTGCAGAAGATGGAGGGCTCTCCAGCCAGCGGGTGGCCGGAGTCGCAGGGGGAGATCGGTGGTGCAGAGGAGGGAGGGCTCTCCAGCCAGCGGGTGGCCGGAGTCGCAGGTGTAGATGACCACGTCCGCGTAGGAGAAGGTGCCCGTCAAGTGCCCGCTGTGTCTCCCGTGGGGGATGTCCGGAGGCGGGTCGCAGGTGATACCTGTGGGCGCGTACAAGGTGGCTGTTAGCATCAGTGCCGCAGCAGCACCTGGGGTCTGAGGACACACACGCTTCCCAGGAAGGGAACCGATGGGGCTGAACCTATCTCAGCAGTGATGCTCTCTGTCGTTGCCTTGAAAGCTCTTTCCCAAGGAAAGCACTGATCTGAATCTCTTTGTGCTGTGTTTGGTTTCTCGTCAGTCCTGCTCACTCAGCTCCTGCCGCAGTGTACTTACTCTGGCAGACGGGAACATCACCGCTCCACCTCACTCGCGTCCCAGAGCTCGAAATCACACAGTGCCGCTGGGATGCTCCAACCAGCCTGTGCCTGGGGTCAAACAAAGTCACTCTTGTCACTGCAGGATCATCTTTGGAGGTTGCGTCTCCCACAGCAAACAAGTATTGCCTTAGTTGCCATCTAATACCGCCATTTTAAAGCTATGAACCTTAGCTCATATGGGGACGTTCCCCCAGGTCCCCTCGGTCAGCACAGGCAGTAGATCCCTGGCAGGCTCAGGGAGCTGCCATGCGCTCTCCTCTTCCTTCCATCCTCTAGAAAAGTCCACTTTAATGACTTCTGGCTTAAGCCAAAGCTTCCAAAATAAACTCCCCTTTTCCCTTCATATGCTCCACACAACCAGACTCAGGTGGTCGTGCCCTCTAAATGGCATTTAAAAATTTATAAATAAATCCCCTTCTCCAATTTCTGTTGCCATTTGGACTAGATATTAGACTAGAAATAGACCGTTGCGAAGACCAGAATTGCTTTAGTGCCAAAACTGTTCTAAACCACCCAAAGGATTCTGAGGCTTTCCCTGATCATTTGGATGATTTGTATTTTCTCTCAGCACTTGAGAACTCCAGTTTCTCCTCCAGCATGGCCTTGTGCAGGCAACGCTGGGGTGCTCTGAGCTCAGAGACACAACCACTGGTCTCTTGTGGGAAGACACGCGGTGCCTACGCGTTGCAAGGAGGGCACAAGCATTGCTGATTTCATCTCAGTGAGGTGAAGGAGCTTGGCTGGGACTCACCCTTCGTTGCAGGTATAATTCACTGTTGACCCAAAGAAGAGATCTGTTGTAGCGATAACTCTGCCGTTCTCCGGTTCTCCTGGATGATCACATTTTCTCCCTGGGCAGAAGAAGACCTGGTTTTAAGCTTCTTTAACTCAGTGCCATAGGAAAAAGGTCACTAATTCTAGGAGTCTGCCCAAACCCCACAGAGGAGGGAACCGAAAGGAAGAAATTACAAGGCTTCAGTTGTCACATTGTGATTGAAACAAACTAGAAGTATCACAAAACATACGTTTGCAAAACTCCTGGGCTTCAGACCATGTTTGATTTTCAAGACATGTGATAGTCGGTGATATCTGTGGATGTTTTATGTATCCAGGCCGACAAGTGTACTTCACGGTCTTCCCAACAGAAAACTCAGTCTGATTTTTATACTCCTTGTTTAGCTCAGCAAAAAATAACGTTGTTGGTGTCCCACAGCCAGCTGCCAAGAAACAAAATGCACATGAGAAATACATGCTGGCTGTGAAACGCAGCTAAAGAGAAACAAGCGCATAGGTAGACACCGTTACAAACCCCAAGGTATTAATATCTCTCCTATGTATTCTGACATTTATCTATATAAATTAACACTTACTTAGCATGCAAGGATACGTGCACCCAATTTATATGTTCTTAAAAAAAATGAAACAAAACCATCCCCCCCCCCAAAAAAACAAACCCAACAACCCAGGTTAGCCAGTTTGGTGTTTCCACACTCTGCACATCCTACGCTGCAGCGCTGCCACCATACAGCGTGTTGTCTTTGGGCCACAGAGTGCAGGAATCTGCAATTTCGGAAGTTAGAACAACCAAGACTGTCTCCTTGTGGGAAACCATGGGCTTTGGCAATGCCACCAGGTTATTCCCGGTGCCACCAAAGTGAACACAGCGCCTGCGTGGGCTGGAAGCACGCTTAGACCCATGGGTGTCACTGGGTGTGCACTTCGCCCCCCACACGCCAATTCTGCAGGTTGGCAGGTTTGCCTGCTCCAGGATCAGCCGAGCACGGGACGGGTGCTCAGCCAGCTGCAGCGGCTGCGGCCGGCCCCACCTGCGCAGCGTGGGTACGGGAGGCTCCAGTTCCCCGAGGCCGTGCACAAGACAGAGGGGTCTCCGAGGAGGGAGAAGCCAGGCTGGCAGCTGTAGCTCACGGACATGCCGCTGGTGAAGTTTGCCCCGAGCTCTGCGCTGTGCGTGGCGTGGGCGATGATGGGAGGTGGAGGACAAGGCAGCACTAACAGGGCAGGAGCAGAGAACAGCGTTTCAGTGATTTTGCCCGACAGAGGAGTACATGTAACACAGCAAAACACCGTCACACCTGAAGCGATCGAGTGAGGCAGAGAGCACAACCTCAGGTCCCCTCCAGCACAAGGATGGCCCTAAGCATCCTCTCTCTAAACCCCCATGTGCCCGTGCTCACCTGGCTCGCAGGTGGGGACAGCAGGCGCCGAG